TTTGCTGCCGAGGGGCTGCGCAGAGCGACGTCATTCCCCGAGCACTGACGTCATGCCACGAGCAGTGACGTCACGCCCCGAGCAGTGACGTCACGCCCCGAGCTGCGCCGCGCGGCTCTGGGTCACTCCCGCCCTGCAGCTGCACCTTTGCAATGAGTTGGCTCCGTCCCTGCTCCCCCCGCCCTTCCTGCTGCCCCGGCTGCGCTGCTCCTGGCTCCGGGAATCTCATGGCTGCTCTACCCGGGGCTCCGCAGCCTCTTTGCTCCCCTCCACGTACACACCCCTGAAAGTTCCTCAGCCAGTGGGGGAGCCAGGAATTGAGTCAGGCAGCAGAGCCGAGGGGGAAATAGCAAACGCGAGTGGGCAAAGATATTTCCTTTCATGTGGAAGGAACAAGCCCCAACCACAGCAGGGCACACCCTGCTCGCCAGCAGACTGTGGGGAGACGGGTGTCCCACCAGCACACTCAGCAGCCACTGTGCTTCCCAGGGTGCTGGGTGCTCTGAGCTCCCCGGCTCCCGGGGGTAGCAGCTGGGCTGAGGTCTGGGTACCCTCCATCCTCCCCCCAGGATCATGAGAAAGGGGGAGAGGGGTGGTGGCTGTGGAGGGAATGAGATTGCCAGGGCCTGTCCTGAGCTCCCCCCCCACAATCTTCCCCTTGTGCCCTGGATCTTCTGGTATGACATCTTCCTCTGGGACCATGGTCCCATGGTGGTCTGCAGCTCCAGGCCCTGGGCAAAAGGCCAGGGCAGCTCAGAAGTCTGTGCAGTATCTCCCTGCTTTGGCCAGAGGAGGTGATGTGAGCAGTGCCCTGGGGCACCCCCAGAGGGTTGCAGCACCCAGATGCCATGGTGGGGTGGGACCTGTCCCCTGGCCTGGCACAGGGCACCTCTGCCAGGCATTGGTCTCAGCTCAGACCACCTCCCCTTGTCCCCTTCTCACTGGACTACTTCGCTCCCCCAGGGTGAGAGATGCAACCGGACAGCACGGGCGGGGCTGGAGGGACAGGCTGCACACAGTGAACCAGGTGAGCCAAAGCAAAGAGGTTCCCAGGCTGCAGAGGGTGGTCTTGGTACTCAGGAGTGGTGAGATGAGCAGATATGCTGGGCCAGGACTCTTGCAGTTGAGTAGCTTTGTAAATACTCTGTTTTAGAATTACTGCAGGCTGCAGGTCGTGGCCAGAGCAGGAGAGGGAGGCGGCCTCATCCTCCTGCAACAACTGGCCTGATGGGATCAGTGTGAGAGATGGACAAGGCTCCAAGCTCCCTCCTTCCCACAGAGCATCAAGTGGGCTCAGCAGCAGCAGAGCCATTGGTGCCCTGCACAAAGCCCTGGTAGTTGTCTGGGCAGGACTAACACACTGGTTTGGTTTGGAAGGAACCTTAAAGATCATCTAGACCCAACCCCCTGCATGGGCAGGGACACCTCCCACCAGCCCAGGCTGCTCCAAGCCCCATCCAACCTGCCCTTCAACACTGCCAGGGATGGGGCAGCCACAGCTTCCCTGGGCAACCTGGGCCAGGGTCTCACCACCCTTACAGCAAAGATTTTCTCTCTAAGATCTCATTTCAATCTCCCCTCTTTCAGCTGAAAATCATTCTTCCTCATCCCATCCCTCCCTGCTGTTGTCCCAAGCCCCTCCCCAGCTTTCCTGGAGCCCCTTCAGGTGCTCTAAGGTCTCCCTGGAGCCTTCTCTTCTCCAGGCTGAACACTCCAACTCTCCCAGCCTATCTCCAGAGCAGAGCTGCTCCAGCCTCTGAGCATCTTTGTGGCCTCCTCTGGACTTACTCCAACAGCTCCATGTTCTTCTTGTGTTGGGGACCCCAGAACTGGACCCAGCAGTGCAGGGGGGCCCCCAACAAAGGAAGAACATGGATCATACTCCATTGGACAGCCCTGTGGCTCTGCTGAGCTGCCTGGAGTTGGCCTAGCCAATGTTGCTGTGTGCTTGGGGCCAGCACAGAGCTCAGGAGCTCCCATGCCAGGGAGGATTCTCCCAGATGATCTGCAGGCAGCAGTCAGGGCCTGGGGTGTACCTGGATGTGGCTGGCTGTGATGTAGGTAGCAGAGCTTATCTCTGGGGACCTTAGCAGTGTTGCGATTGTGAGCCTTGGGGCTGGAGGATGCCTCTGGCCCATTTTAGGTAAGAGTACACTTGTAGTGCAGAGGTGGAGATGATTACCAGGTGACAGGTGGAGACAGGCAATGCCTGTTGGAAACCCGAGAGAAGTAAACAAACATGGGTGGAGAACCCCTGTTTCATGAGATAAGAAAGAGCCTGCAGTGAAAAAACATCCCTGTTTGAACTCCACACAGGGCAAGATGCCTCTGGCTTTCTTCAGGAGATTAGCCGTGCCCTGTGCTCCACTCCTCTAGCATCTCTAGCCCCCAGGCAAACCTCTGGGGTAAGAGTTGGACTTGTTTAAAGTTTTCTTGCCATGCCAGATCATATGGAGTCCTGTTACAACGTGTTGCACATCATAAATTTTAAGTGCTAATTATTACACAAATGTCTTATTAGCACTAGAGCTGTTCTGGTGTTTCCCAAAGGCTGAAAGCATTAGCAGGCTTGTCGTTCACATCCAGGCTGGGGTTGGGAAGTGTGTGACCATCTGCTGGTGGAGGCAGAGATGGAGCCTGCAAGGGTCACATTGCCAGTGTGGTCCCACCAGGCAGGCTCCTCCCAGTTTCTCTTTGTGTAAGTGGTTCCTGGGCAGCTCTAAGGACAGGGATTCAAGAGCAGCTTTGGCCACTGACCCACCAATTAGGCCAAGCCCTGTCTGCCACTTCCTTGTCCCCAGACACTCTCTGAGGATGCCACAGCACCAGATGCTGCCCTTGCTGCTGCAGCAAGGCCAAGGTGGGGACACCCCTTGTGCAAATCTGGCCCCACATTTCTTCCAGGTAGACAGTGTCCTGGTCTTCCATGTCATCTCTGCACTGGGCAGGACAGTGAGGAGTTGGTGCGAGGATTCCTTTACCATCTGCTCTGCCAGAGCCCACAGAGACGGAGACTGTGGCAGAGATCATACAGGCCCCACTGGCATGTCCATCCTGCTCCCTCACTGGCCATTGTTACAACTTTTGGGGAACTCAAACCCCAACCAAGGTGATGAACAATGGGTTGTATCCAGCCAGGGCAAGTTTTCTGCAATAAACCAGCACTGTTTGGACCAAGTATGTGCTGGCCTGATGCCTTCTGGTCTTTCTCCAATGGAGGAGAAGCTCCATGCTTAGGAACATCTCTTTCACGTGGTGCCTTTGACCCCAGTCCATAGGGGTTTCTGACCTTCTTGTGTTTTCCATTGACTATTGGGAGCCCTTGGGGTTGAGGGGCCTGACCAGAGCTGGTCCGACGTGTGTAGCCAGGGTGGGTGGGCTGAGGACCCTGGCCCCTGGCCACCCAGCAGCACCACAGCTCCCTGCTGAGAGTCTTGGCTTTGCCTCTGCAGGGACCCCCCTGAACCTCAGCGTGAGTGACCACAGCCGGTCGGACTCCCTGCTTGTGTCCTGGGAGGAGCCCATGGGGGATGCTATAGGATATTCGCTTGCCCTCTTCTCCCTGGGGCCAGGCAATATGCTGCAGAATGGATCTGCTGGACCCAATGTCACCAGCTTCTGGTTCTACGGGCTGACCCCTGGCACGAGCTACAAGATCGAGGTGACAGCCACGCTGGCTTGCATGGAGACCACCAGCCAGACAGTCACAGCACAGACAAGTAAGGCATTCCCCAGGGGCTACAGAGTCAAAGGGGCTCAGTTCTCCTACCAGTGATGGTCACACTGCTCTGGTGGGTGCAAAGTGCAGGTCTGTGTCCATGAGATCGTGGGGAGGTTGAGCCTTTCCTCACTTCCACAGGTTTTACGGTCCTTCCCTGGTCCCCAGAGCCAAGGGGTCATTGCATCTTGCACGGGCAGGGTTTCTGCTGTATCTTGTCCTGGAAGAGTGTAGCTAATGATGGACTAACCTATGATGTGGGCTGCAGAGAGCTGAGGGTTGGATAGTGTTCTGCCTGGAGGTCTCAAAAGAGCTACAAGAAAGTAGCATCTGCTCTATTATTTTGGCAAGTCTCTGTCAGTCTCCACAAAACCACAAAAGCCTGCACACCCACCCTGGCTGATGCCGATGCCTGGGGAAGAGGCAGGGCTGGTCAGTCCACAGCCCAGGGAAGGACAGCAGCCCTTGCCTGCAACTCTCCAGAAGATTTCGGAGTAAATCAGTGCAGGTGAAGGTGGAAAGCCTGGAAAAGGATAGTAGAGATCAAGGGAAGAGGTTTGCCAGAAGAAGGCCCAGTGTCAGATAGCAGTGATGGCTGCAGGGAGCAGGGGCTGGAGGAGACTGAGGAAGGTCTCATATTATCAGTATCTACAAGGGCGTGTCAGGAGGATGGGGCCAGACTCTTTTCTTCAGTGTCCAATGACAGGAAAAGGGGGCAATGGCCATGAACTGAAGCCCAGAAGGTTCAAGCTAAACATAAGAAAAAACTTTACTATGAGAGTAACAGCAGTGTGACAGGCTGCCCAGAGAGGGTGTGGGGTCTGCTTCTCTGGAGACATTTCAAACCCATCTGGATCTGTTCCTGTGGGATCTACTGTGGGTAATCCTACTCTACAGGGGGGTTGGACTAGATGATCTTTAGAGGTCCCTTCCAACCCCCATCACTCTGTGACTGTGTGACTCATGGGAAGGCAGGAGTCAGGACCCCCAGGGGACGGTGCAGCCCACACAACCCATGGGAGCTGGTGAGCTGGCAGGGAGGTGGTGGGGCTGTGCCTGGGGACCTGGGTCCTGCCAGGTCAGGCATCACCAGGCAAACAGTGAACATGCTGTGTGCCATGTCCCATCCATGTCCAATGCAGGTCCCTCACCCGTCCGCAACCTGACCCTGAGCAGCAGTGGGACCCCTGGGGTGCTGAGGGCGTCCTGGGAGCACGCCCAGGGCCAGCGAGACAGGTACCACCTGGCTCTCTACCACAGCCAGTCCCAGGCACTGGTGAGAAACGTGTCCCTCTTGCCCAACGCCTCCACCTTCCTGCTGGATGGGCTGCTGGCTGGCAGTGAGTATGCCCTGAAGGTCAGCACACTGGCTGGAGCCAGCCAGGCCAGCAGCAGTGTCCACCAGTGGACAGGTAGGGAGTGATGGTGTCCCTGCCCAAGTGGGGGGGGTGGGAGCAAGGGTAGGGCAGGAAGGGTGCAGTACTCATGCTAGTGGAAGAGGGGATGGGGTCTCCAGGCTCAGGATGGGGACTTGGTGTAGGATGGAGAACCCTTGGGGGTTTTCCACACCCACCCTGTGGGCAAAGGGGAAAACCTCATGCTTCAGTCCTGCCTTGCTGGACCCAGCGCTTGGGTTTGTGGGCTGGTGTCCCCATGGGAGAAGGGCAGTCTGGGGATCCTGGCTAAAATGCCTCGGCTGGTGGGAGCTGCAGAAATGTTGCATTACTCAAGCTGCCACCCTCTTGGCCCTGTAGCCTGGGAGAGCATGACAGTATGGAGGGACCTCAGGAGCTCCTCAGGCCGCCTGGGATGAGACCCAGGAGGGACATCCCTCAGCAGGTCTTCAGTGCTCATGCCAGCACTGAGAGCAGCCGTGGGCATAGGAGGCCCTGGAGAGAGAGGGAGGTGTCCAGAGAGCCCCAGCACTGAACCTCACTGCCTCCTGCTTGTCCCCACAGCTCCCTCCATCCCCACCCAGCTGAGGCTCAGCCCTGGCTCCAGCACCAGCCTCGTGGCCTCCTGGGGAAGCGCCATGGGGGCTGCCTGGCTGCACCTCACGCTGCACAACCTCCTCACTCGGACGGTGACCACCACCCTGTCAGCCAGGAGGGGTCTCACCAGCTTCACCTTCCAGCACCTCCAGCCTGGCACCCCGTACTGGCTGGGGCTGAGCACCATGGCTGGGCCCTACAGGGTGGCAGGGCCCAATGCCACTGCTTGGACATGTGAGTATGTTGGCCAGGGCGTGGGGGACCTCTGTGGCCCCGGCTTTTTCCCTGCCTCTGATCTACCCTCTGAATCCAAAGGTGTCCTGCCAGAGCCTGGGGTACAGAGGGCAATTCTGCTTGGACCTGGCCAAAGCTGCTCCAGGACCCTGTTCTGGGGCACTGTGATAGTGGGGTCAGGGAGTCTCCTGGGCAGGTGAACTCCTGGTGCTGGCCTGCTTCTCCATGGGGTTCACTGGGATCAGCGTGTGGCTTCTCCCTGAAGAGGAGGATGGAAGGGTAGTACATGCCACCGATGTTTGGTGCAGCTGGGCTGGGCTGTCACATACCTCAGGTCTGTTCAAGGGCACCAGAGACAACAGTGGGCAAGGGGATAGTGTTGTAACTGGGTTGGTTTCGTTAGGGAAATGAATCTTTGGTCCTCTTTGATTGCTTTGAAGGGTTTGTTTTGGTAATACCTGATATCCTCATCCTGGTGGATGTGCCTAATGTGTCGGGTGCTGTGCCAACACAGGAAAGGAATCCAGCCTCCCAGCCTCTAGCAGGTCAAGAAATGGAGGGTGGCTCTCCCAAACCAGCTGGTTGCACCATTCAACCCAGCTTCCTCCACCTTCTGGCTTCAGGCTGAGAAGGTCCCTGAGAAAAGGTGATTTCTACCACTGCAGTCCTGGTTTGCTGCTGAGACCTTGTCTGTAGCATTGCACACAGTTCTGGCCCTGGACTTGCTCTCCCAGATGTTCCCAGGAATGATACGGGGTTTTTTAAAAAGCAGCTATAAATACTTCCTCCAGCTGCACCAATATCCCCTCGTCTCTCTTCCCTCCGTGGCACCTGTTGACACTCATGTCCCCAGTTAAGATTAGCTGCTTCCCGGGGCAGGGAAGCCCCAGCTCCACAGCCATCCCTCCCTGCCCTGCTGCACCCGCACCTGGCCGGCCCTTTCTGGGAGCCCACTGGGGCTGTTAAAACTTGCACAGCCCCAAGGGGCTGGCTCTGCTGCCTGCTTTGCTTGGCCCAGCTCCCTGAGGGAAGAGACCCAGGAACAGGCCCCACGTGATGTGGTGGCACTTTTCCATCTGAGTGCTGGGGCAAGGGCAGCCCCAGCCTCCTGGCCAGGACAAGTCTCATGCTGAATGCCAAGAAAGCATTGGCCTTTGCCAGTGAGGAGCACTTGGAGGTGCCAAGCTGCAATCTCAGGGCTGTTGTAGCCAGTGACGTGTCCTTGCCCTGGGCAGAGCCACTGTGTACGCTGGAAGGAGCTGGGTGCCACCAGGCACAAGTCTCCAGCTCTTCCCTGCTCCACCTGCCAGTTTGGGAAGCTGGACCCTGCTCCTTGCTGACTCTGCAGCTGGGCTCTTGGGAGACCTCCACATCTCCGCTGGTTTCTTTCTGCTGTGAAGCCTGAGTCCTCGCTGCTGGCACCTGCAGCTCCCACCTGACCCAGCAGAGCTCCCCAGTGCCAGGCGCATGAGCCAGGGCACCCAGCCAGGGTTTCAGTCCAGGCCAGTTCCTGGGAATATCAGCAGGCTCATGATGGGACATGAATGGAAAGGAGGGCGGCTTTCAGGAATTTCCCAGCAGAGCTGCCAGCTTTGTCTGGGCTCTGCTAGGCCAGGAATGGTTGTGCTAGGGGGTGGAGACAGCATGCTGCAAAAGTACATCTAAGGCTGGACATAACCTTGCAGATAAGAAAGCGGGGCACGAGGCTCAGGGGTCCAGAGAATCCTATAATCCTGACTCATACAATCCTGTTCCCTTCCCTTCCAGACCCCCTGAGCCCTGACAACGTGACCCTGAGCAGAGCAGAGGAACAGAGCTCCTTGCAGGCTCACTGGAGCACTCCAGCAGGAGAGAGGGACTTCTACCTGGTGACACTGCAGGAGGGAGAGGACCATGCTCCCACAAGGAACATCTCTGTTGATGGAGACAACAGTCATGTCACCTTCCATGGGCTGAGCCCTGGGACACAGTACTGCATCCAGGTGACAGCAGTAGCTGGGCCTCACCGGGCATCAGCCCGCAGCACCGCGGCCTGGACGGGTGAGCAGGGAGCCTGAGTGTGGCCTCTCGGGGCCGTTGGATGGAGGGGCTGGTGCCCCAAGGGAGGCGGGTGAGATGGGGACTGTGCACAGGGGCAGAGGTGGGGCTGGCAGGGCTGCGGTAGGAAGATGTGTAGGGGCAGGTTGAGTTTGGACATTAGGAAGAGATTCTTCACCCAGAGGGTGGTGGAGCACTGGAATGGGCTCCCCAGGGAAGCAGTGATGGCACCAAGCCTGAAAGTATCCAGGAAGCATTTGGGCAACACCCTCAGGAACATGGTGTGAACTGTGAGGTTGTCCTGTTTTGGGGTGGGAGTTGGACTTGGTCATCCAGGCTGTCTGAGGAGGTGGTTGAGCCACCATCCCTGTAGACATCTAAAAAAGCAGATGTGGTGCCAGGGGACATGGCTTAGTGGTGGATGTGGCAGAGTTGGGGTAGTGGTAGGGGGACTCCATGATCTTGAAGGTCTTTTCCAGCCAGAGTGATACTGTGATATTGTGGCACCAGGTCCCAGTAGTGGACTGAGGGTCTGAGCAGCAAAATCTGCTGCCCCAGAGTTCCTCGTGAGGGTGGGCTCAGAGGTACTGGGCAGACTTGTGCCAGGTAGTGCCAGTCACAGATCAGGACCAGCTCCTACCTGGTAACTGCTGGATGCGATGTCTGGCAGGCTGCAGGACTGCTCCCCCTCTCTCTGCTCACAGCAGATGGTCCCCCTGGTCCCAACAGAGCAGCAGGTCTCTGTGCCCAGTCCCAGGTGGCTTGTGGAGCCACGGTTGGTGCTGTCCCAGAGCTGCTCTCCTGGGAAGGAGGGACTGGATCTGCAAAGAGTGTGGAGAGGCTTTCCCTCAGTCCCTGGTGCCAGGGGCAGTGACAGCCCTGGAGTTTGGTGGGGAGACACACTGCAGAGTGTCTTAAAGGCCGTCTGGCTGTTAATGCACTGCCCACAGTGACAGGGTCCCATCCTTGTCCCTTGCAGAGCCACTGGCACCATCTGGTGTGTGTCTGTCCAGCCAGGGGAGCCCCTACAGCCTGCTGGCCAGCTGGGAGGAGGCAATGGGAGAGGGCTACCTGCTGGCTCTCAGCCCTGTAGAGCACCCTGGGCAGAACAGCTCACTGCTCAGAGGTGCCACCAACTTCACCTATGAGGGCCTCCATCCTGGCACCCTCTACACCCTTGAAGTCAGCACCGTGGCTGGTGCCTACACGTCCTCACGCCGGCGCGTC